CCAAAAAGTGTAAAAATTTAATACAAGGTTCCTGATATATTGTTACAGTAGAAATTGAAAAATATTAAAAATACATAGGCACTATTTTTTTTTATAAGCATTTAAACATCGAATTTTGACAAAATTTATCAAAATCTCGAAAATTATCAATCATTGTAATTAATAAATTATAAAATGTTCAGTTTTTATAGCTAAGGATTGCAAATTTAAAACAAAGGTTCTCATAAATAGTTCATACTGTAACCAAAAAATCTAAAAAATATATGAACACAGTTATTTTTTACAGACATTTTAAATTCAAATTTTTACTAAATTATATATTAAAATCAATATTAACGATCTTTGTTTTTGTTGTAATTTAAAAATATTATTCGGGGATATATGCAGTGCCGCTCTAACCACCAATAACGCCCTAGGGCAACAATATTTGACACCCCTCACCCACCCACCAAAAAATCTCGACTTCGCATTTTTAGCTTATAATTAACCACATACCTTAAATATGTTTAATACTTATTAATTAAAGGTTCCTACTTATTTTTTTAAATATTATTATTGGGATCATATTTATTTTGTTTATATTTGAACACCGATTTCATTATTCTGGGAACACTCGTACATTACAGAAAGAAAATATATATAACTATTTTCACAAATTAGTACCTAGATTTCATTATAAATCATACATTCTGCGTTTCTGCGTGTGTAATAACAGTGTAGTATAACAATCAACATTTTAAATTGCACAAGTGAATATAAGTGATTATAAAATTCAAAGGTGGGCATTAACTAGTTGAAAAGTTAAAGTTCAGTTAAAAAGTTAATTTTTTTTAACTTTTTAACTTAACTAGTTAGTTTATTTTCTAATCAACTTATGAACTTAAATAGTTTAATTTACAATTGAAATAACTTAGCTTTTCTCAGTTGATTTAAAAAAATCCATTAAGTTAAAACATTTTGAAATTGTTCGTTTATACTTAAATATTACGGATTTTGAACGCTCATAAAAATTTAATTTGACTTTCTTATAGACATTTTTTTTTTGATAAAGGTAGATAATCTTATAAGGAATCTTGTATTACATTTTCAAATCTTAGATTTAAAAAGAAAAATTTTTACCAATTCTTAACTCAAAATAATTTGCTAATTTTCGTGATTTTTCCATATTTTGTCAATTTTTGAACTTTAAATGCTTATAAAAAAAAATTGTGACTTAGGATTTTTAATATTTTTCATCTACCTTTGAAACAATATACTAGGAGCCTTCTATTAAATTTTCAACTTTTCTCAACCAACAAATAAAATTTTATTGATATTTAAAAAAAATGGAAAATGAAAATGTCCCTAAACAGTTCAAAATTAATCAAAATATTTTGAAAATGTTATCGTGTATACAAAATGTAAATATAAACAACCAGTGAAAATTTCTTGTATATACGTTCATTTCTTTTAGAGTTACACCAAAAATCAAAATCGATTTTTTGGAAAACAGATTTTGCGTAAAAATTCCCGTTTTTCCTTAATTTTTATGTTGTTTTTCCCGGTGCTTGTGAAAACTACTGGGAAATTTTGACCCCCCCACCCCCAAAGTACCAACTAGATTCACCCTCCTATCAGAAAAGATACTGTTGAAGAAAATCCAAGCACTTTTACTGTCCTAAAACGTGATGACAGACACAAAAATAAAAAAAGGTACTACTAGGTACCAAAGATATGAATTAGTTTAGTTTATAAGTATATTACAATATAGTATACAGTATATTACTTAATTATTGTAATGATGTATATACATATTTAAAATATATTTCATGTGCTTAAATAAATTACTATTGTAATCTTAATAATCTTATAAATTATAAGTATTAATATTTTTATTTGTTTTTATGAATATTCAATATATTATTATTGAAGTTATGTCGCATTAAGATTTAACACATTATTTACATAATTGTATACCTACTTAATAGTATACAATTTGATAGATACTCATCTTTGATATTACAGTATAATCAAAAAAATAATACCTAAAATAAGAACACCAAATTTTTCTTTTTATCATCCATTTCTAGTACGCCCCCTAAATTCATAATACTTTAGACGCCCTAGGGCACTTGCCCCATTTGCCCCCCCCCCTTGGGACGGCTATGGATATATGAAACTGAAAAATCAAAATATTATGGCCTATCCATACAATCTACCATAGTATAAGGAATAAGAATTATGCTCATGATAAGACTGTGCATATTTTAAGGAATTTATTCATAAATTCCATATAATTTAATACCATAGAAAAGTATATAATATGTCTTATACCTAGACTGACATACCGTCTCCGCTCAGAATCGTTATTCTTGTACAATGATATTATATCATTGCATTCAAATTTAATACCATCCATTATACAGTGACCCACTTGTAACCTACAGTACAGCAGAGCGACATCCACTTACCCACCTTTTTTTAACTTGTTATTAGAATTTCAAAATTTTAAATTATAAATGACGGAGTTTACACGTTTAAGTACATAAATACATAATATTTACCTACCTAGCTAAAATAAATGAAAAAAAATCTCTTCTAATATAGCTAGGTACTATATATGGATATAAAAATTATTTTTTAATTGAAAATTGAAATACATATTCGTTGTGGATTATCAAATGTATTGATTTTATATTTTTATACCTTATAATGAAGTTTCTGTATATACTATAGAAGATATAAAAAAAATGCATCAATCTTCAACTTTGAGGGTAGTTTCTGATAGAAAATTGGATCTAGTTGCTACTTTTAAGAGGTCAAAATAGAAAATTCATAGAATGATCGTGAAAAACAAAAAACAAAGAGGTAGGCAAGTGGATGTCACTCTGCTGTACAGTATGTTTTAAGTGGATCACTGTAATGGATTGTGTTAAATTTGAATTCAATGATATAATACCATTGTATATAAGAAAAATGATTCTGAGTGAAGACGGCCATAGCCTATGATATTACTAAGAATAATTGATGATAATATAATTGTGAATAAAGTAATTTATATTTAACTTATTTACGTGGAACTTTGATTTTAAATGTTTAATCTTTGGCTACAAAATTTGAACATTTTATAAATTTTTAACTACTAAATAATTTGTAAGTTTTCAATTGTTAAATTACGTCAACATTTTAATTTTAAATGATTATAAAAAAAACGTGCGTATATGTATTTTTAATATTCTTCATCTGCAGCTGACGTAACAATATATCAGGAGCCTTAAATTAATTTTTCAAGCTTTTTGACGAAACAAATAAAATTTTATTGACATTTATAGAAAAAAAAACTAAAAAAATTAAAATTTTAAATTGTCCGTAAACAGCTCAAAACAAGTAAAAATATTTTCATGGTGTATAGAAAATGGAAGTATAAACATTCAGTGAAATTTTTATGTATCTACAGTTATTCGTTTTTAAATTACAACAAAATAAGGAAATCGTTCCATGAAAACCTATGCTATAAATATACGAACTTAATACACTCATAAAAATTTAATTAGACTTTCTTGTTGACATTTTTTTTTTGTTTTTGATAGAGGTAACTATTTTATGAGGAATCTTGTATTACATTTTAAAATTTTGGATTTAAAAAGAAAAATGTATAAACAAAATTGTAACTGGATTTTTAATATTTTTCAAATGTCATTGTAACAATATAGTAGGAGCCTATTGTATTAAATTTCCAAGCTTTTTTACCCAGAAAATACAGTTTTATTGATAAAGGTCCCCACATAATTTGTTATTGGAACGGCATTGAATATAGTTGAGTAATATTAGAGTATTAGCCCAATTAAAATACAATGTATGCATACATAAATAGGTTAATAAATAAGTACTGTTATCAATTTCCATTAACAATACGATCTATTTGCAATCATTCAATTGAAACAAATTTACTTTGGAGTATGGAACAACTATTTTGTGAAAAAAGACGTAGAACCGTATTTATAGTTCTATTCTCTTGAGTCTTGGGACAAAGATTTATACACAAGTAAATGTATATTCAATATTGTATATAATTATTGTGTATTCGTCTATAACACATGACGTAGGTGATAGCAGCTGATAATAAGATGTATCTTATGTATCTTATGCATAATATTATAATCTATAAACCTTGGCATAGGCCACGGTTAAAGATATACAATATAATGTAAATAATAGATGAATTAATGTAAATAAATGTAACATATTAACACATTAATAATACAGAGTGAGAGTGATTCGAAGAATTCATTGAATCATTGAATTGATTCATTTTAATGAGCTGAATCACATGAATTAGTTCACTAAAATGAATTCAAAGTACCCACTACCCATCATTATAGCCTATAAACTGTAACCCTACATGCCACTAGCGCTCTAAAGATGTGGTGAAAATGTATACTAAACCCGTATCGCCATAGATTAAACATGTTTAATATCGCCATGTATCGCGTACTGACCTCAGCTGCCAATGCTATTTAGGTAGCTAACCTGTATATTATCTTTAACCGTGGCATAGGCCAACCAAAAAAATGTAAGCAAACCGATCAGCTGATTGTATATTTCAGTGTCGCTTAAATTTTGTTCTGTGGTAAGACTGACGACTGAACTGTTTGTTTTGATTATGATTTAATGACTAAATGACGAATAAAAGATTAGTAGTAGTGGCTAGTGCGCACGAAAACAACGTAAAAAACTGTTTTGATTATTATTTACTGTTTACAAATGCGGAGGAATTTTTAATCAAACCTTTTTTGAATCAGATCCACAGGATTCGATATTCTGAGTACACAGTTCAGGTCTTTCCAACAACGCGTAGGTGAGTGAAACGATACGAGTGTGAACCTTACGTGAGGCCGGGAAAAACAATTGCGTATTTAGCGTTTTCGACCAGGCGTAAGTACCTGAGACGATGACAACTCCTGTAATCGGGATATTTATTTGACATGTATATGGGTTTTTTGTTTCAATAGGATGAGAAAATGGCAATTATGCTAGAAAATACAAAAGGGATGACAGATTCCGAAACTCATCTGTTGTCTTTCAGCCTCGACAATTTGGAGATTGACCCCACCAGGTAAATATTGTAATAGTACAGATGATTTTTGGGAAATGTCGATTTTTTTGTTTATTTACATTGTTAGGAGGGTGGACATAATGTTGTATTCTACTTATTGCCTTAATACATTTCTATTACAATTGAAAAATGTTGATATGTTTTATCAGACTAGTGTGTTTACTTTGGTTCATTTAAATAAATGGTTTTGACCTCAGTGTTATTATTATACTATGACTCGTGGGAGGGGGCACCCTCTCAATCAGCTTCTTAGTGAAAGTAGAAAATAGATTGGATACATAAATAGAAACATCTATTTTCAATAATTATATTCAAAGGTTTGAATTAGTCAATAATCAAAGTATATTTATTGATTTATTTAACTATAGTTAAATTACAAATAGTAACTACCCAAAGCTTATAAGTTAAATTGTATATATTTTTTATTCAATATTGGTTTTATTAATTAGGTAAATGTTAAGGGGGCTGGAGCGTAATCCATTTGTGTCCATTCTAAGGAGTAAAAACTAGGCATTTTATATTGCAGTTTATATGGGTCTTGTGAATGTGTTGATAGTAAAAAATGGACATTAGTGTGTGTAATTCGTAGTAGCAATCACATTGGATAGGGGCATCAAAGTGACATAGTGACCACTGGATATTTACATCTAACATTTTACCTATGCGTTTGCACGTGTGACCACATATTACCTTATAAAATTGCAAACATTTTTTCTACCAATGACTTCAATCACTACGCTCAGTAGGATGTTCTGATTTAAATTTTAAAAGCAGATTTGAATTCTCCTCTTAATTTACTATGCTTTAACTGTCGTACATTTTTCATATTCTATGTAAATGTATTTTAATTATGAATATGATCTATTTTTTATCTTTTTGTTAGTAAATTTCCAAGTAAAAAAAAAGAAATTGTCTAAGCATAAGCAATTCAGTGACCAATACAAATCCATGTTCAAAATTAATATCAGAACATTATATTAGGTGTAGTGATTGAGGTCTTGAGCTATATTTTTGACCGAAAATGAATCACGTACCAGTCCCCTAATGTTATTATTTATATAAATCTAACATAAAATTATCAAATATTATTTCAATTTAATACTGGCCTGCTTATATTAAGGTCCTAAACAAAAATCAAAATATATTAAATTGAAAAATAATTAAATATTTAGGTATGCAATTGATGTATTAATAAGATATGATTAAATAGAAATTAATTACATTTTTAGGCCTCATAAGTATCCTGGAAACATTGTGGAAAAGGATAATGATAATAAAGAACCATATCCAACTGGTTGTGTAATATGCCGTTGTATGAATACAAAATCTTTAACCTGTGCATATCCTCAAAAACAAAACACTGAATTGCCATCAAAAGATTGCATACTAAGGCCTCCTAAATTAAACAGAGTAGAGCGATGTAAGCAACAATATGCAGCAGCATCTCCTGTACCTGTTAATCGAAGGTTTAACCGTAAACAATTAAATCGAAAATGGTCTACCGATGATGAATTTCTATCAGAATTATCATTGAACAATAACAACAATAGTAACGAGTGTACTAATGTCATACCATGCACGGATGATGTAACAATTGATGAGTTGGCCAGTTATTTTGAAGATCTAGTACACATTCCTAAAAAAATGTCCGACATGGCTGAACTGATGTACAATTAAACATATACATATATTTTGAATCATTTATTGTTATTCTGTTTGTTTTTTAGGTAAAACTTTTACTGACTTAAAAAAATATTATAATAATGATTTGTTGTAATCAATCATATTCAATTGTTATACAAAATATTATGGCAATTGAAAATACTGATTTAAATGTATAGATATGAATTGTTGTCAATGTTCGTTTTTAAAGACCAAGTCATGTAACAGTATAATTATATAGTCACTTTTTGAATAATCATATGACGTGTACAAGGAAGTAAATTGCTAATAGTACTTCATTACTATTCATTATGTAACATACTGATAGTCAAGTGTGTATTCTCAACAAATTTGTTACTAAAATAGTTTGGTTGTAAGAATAAAAATTAAATATACATCTTTATTTAGTATATTCAATCATTAATTTAGAATTAAATTGTTCAAGTGCATATAGTTAACTAATTAAAATTATACAAATTTCATATTATATTCACCTGAATTTTCCATTAATTATTTAACAATTAAATTGTAAAACATACTGCACATTTAATATACTTATTATATAAATAATGTTGAATAAATGAAGCCAATATTTTCAGAATAACAAAGTAGTTAAAGAAAATTATTTATCACTAACCACATACACACATTTTAATTATATTAGTTTTTTTTAAATTTTAATAAATAGAGTCAACATTTATATTTATTCTAATAGAGATTTGTAAATTGTACTTGAAATGTTTGCAAAATACCATGACATTGGTAGAAAGATTTTATTAATATAAAAATTTAATAATAAATTGATCAAATTGTGCATGTAAAAATTTTTATGACTATTAACAAATTAATGCTATCTTATAATTTGAATTTATTATTTTTCTCGTAGAACATAATTTATTTTTTATTCATTATACCAAAACCATATTTTGTAATCGTACTTTTAATAAGCTTTAAACTTTCTAGAATTTATGAATATAATATTTTGTTTTATTGTTGTATAATTATATACATGTATAATTTTAATTATAAAACATTGTTTTTATTTGAATTCAAACAACCAAACTAAATTAATTTTAGTAATATTATCTAAAAGTTGTTCTGTTTCAAAATTTATATACGTACTTATTATTATATGTTTTATTTATCTACTAAAATATTTTATTGAGTATTTTTTTCTGGAAAGGGTTATTTGTCAAATTAATGTATGTAAGCAATCTCTTATTACCTTGAATATATGTGATTTTACAGATGATTACTATTTAAATCAATTAAAATCGAATGGTCTTGAAAACATAAATTTAAAATCAATGTGAATTATTTGTTTTAATTTGTTAAAACAAAAATTAAACTTTATTGACCAATAATATAAGTCATCTTTAGTTATTTAAAAATGTTGTGAAATGTGTATGATAAATAATTCAGTCACAGCATAACGCCAAGTATTTCATATATTATTATATATCGATTTCAGGACATGTTCAACAAATCATCACATAGTACTGTTGTCAGAAATTTATTAAAATAAAATTCTATCAAAACATATAATTATTTATATAAACAGGTAGTAAACAAATGCAGTGAAGCATAATATGAAAAGAATGAATCAAATCAATCAATCACTGATTCTTGGAACAACCTATTTTTTGGGCATCACTTTTTGAACCATTTGCACATCCTTTACCACAACAACCATTGGCTGGTCGATAATTTGGTGTCCAAGCACCTAAACTGTTATTACTGTAATAATCCATTGGATAACTTTCTTTGCAATTGAACTCAATTTGATTCATAACTACAGCACCTTCATAAGGCGACAGAAATGGTTTTTCAAACGCAGTGCCCCAATCGATAGACAATCGTGGGCATGCAATCTGTATCCAAGCGTCAACCGTGTCTCCAAAAAAAGATAGCTTTTGTGGAAATATTTCTGATAAGAGAATAGTCACGGAGTTTTTCAAATGTGATCTCATTTGATCCTAAAAATAACAAAGCATAATACAAATTTACAATTATTAAATACATTTACAAACAATAATTAACTACATTTAAGTATTATACATACATGAAAATAATCCAAAACTTTTGTACTTCCTTGTCTTCCCAGAGTGCCTAAAATCAGTCCGAAAGTTTTAGCATCTTTAGCTCGTTCGATTGCCTTCAGCCGAGTATCTTTCATGACATCATGATCATAGTATTCTCTGGTCAATTTTCTTTCATATGGGTCATACCTAAAATTAATGCACATATCACAAATAATATTATACAAATGGCTATTAAATATATACTATGCCTCATTGATTAATTGTATAACTACATAATATAAAAATATGGAATGAAAAATTTTCAATTTGCCTTTATTCTGGTTTTAAGTTTCATAGCTTGGCTGTCAGTGTTACATGAATTTACATTTGTTAGTATTTCAATATCAGTGTAGTAGTATAATAAGATAGTTAAAAACTTATTTAAAATATAATTTATTGCATATTTATAACATATTAATTAATTCAATAATCACTACCAATTTATCATAAACCTCTTTAGTAATTACCTACTTAATATTTATTTTCAAGAATTAAAAATTATATTATTTATTTAATATTTTTATTTAAATTCATAATAGTTGATGGACTACAAATTGTATTAACTATTATAACTTGGGAATTAAGTAGGTGCCTAATAGTTTTAGATTTAATTCTAAATGTAAACAAATGTCATTATTAAATAAATTTAAAAAATCTAGCCGTACATGTTTACCTGTATGCTGCAAGTTCAGGATTAGCTATCATTATGGATTCTAAATGGAAACGACCATCACCTAGATATATCAAACAATCGGCGTCTGAAACCTTTGGTGAGGTACATCCCAAAATTTCTCCCGGTGACAGTGGTTTTTCTTGAGGAACTTTTACACAATAACTAAATAGAAAAATTGTGAAAATAGAAAAATCTTGTGTGTATTTACAAGGTGTCAATTAGAACAATAATCATAATGCTCAGCTACTAACCCATCTGTTTTTAATTTATTAATCAACCCTTGTAATGTGGTGACAAACTGAACAGTGCTCACAAACAATAGTCTCTGTTGTTTGGTGAAGTTTAATTTCACAGTTTCGATTAGGTGTATAGCGTCAATCTTGATGTCAACAAAAACATATAGCACTTTGACCCCTTCGGTTTGATCCACAGGAATGAGACAACTGTGGCCATAGTGCACTAAAAGGTCGACACCAAGAGCTTTGGCTGTGAAATCATCCACACAACATGCACCATAGGTGACATCACCCATAATTACCGTGTCTGCACCTGTGAACCTTTCAATAATATCGCTCAACTGTACAGCAAACATGGTCAGGCCTTCGGGCATTTGCAAAGCAACACGTTTGGCTTGCATTTGACGCAGTCGCCATATGGTCTTTGGCAATTCAAAGTTGTAGTTAGGTGGTAAAGATTGTACAGCGGCGATCAGCTCAGGGTCATTGGTAATCTCATCGGGTATTTTGTTCAGCACTTTGGCTGATGGTCTGAACACCTTCCGTTCGGTTTTAGCCTTTACAACTACGGCATCAGACATGGTCAATGTTACAATTAATATACCAATACGTCATAAAAGTAAACCATCTATATTCATATTTGTTCGAAAATACTTGAGTAAATATTTATAAATAATAATATTGACTGGTTCAACTCTCTTGAATATCAAAAAAATTAATAAATTCTTTGAAAAATTGAAATTTTGAATAGGTAATGGGCACAAGTGCACATTAGCACATAGCACAAAATATATTATCATAATTATAATATAATCAGTAATAACCATAGATTATAGACCATAAAAAACAAAAACAAGATAGCCGTCTCCTTCTTATCATTGAAGTTGACCGTCATTTACAAAGCAGGCAATAAGAACATAAGATGGTTCTCTAATGTTTATGCCACAGAAGGCACAGATATAGAAAAATTCTTAAATTAACTTTTTAGATTTTAAGCAAAGAAAAAATGTATTGGTTTTACAATAATGTGTGATTTTTAAAAATATTCAATTGTTTAACAATTTCATGAACGCTTGCGTTCTATCATTAACCATGAACTAAAAATAATTTGAAACTGTTCGTAACAGCTCAAAATGAGTCGAAATATTTTCAAAATTGTATGGTGTATAGAAAATGAAAGTATAAACATTCAGTCAAATTTTCATGTTTCTACAGTTATTTGTTTTCGAAATACAACAAAATAAGAAAATAAATCGAAAATCGTACAGAGCTCAGGTTGGCCAGCTGGTCCTAGCTGTATAAAAATGAAACTCATACGCCTTACGACTTACAAATAATATCCAAGTCATAATCAAATCTCAGAAGACGATAGAGTTGCAGATGAAAAAGCTGGCCAAGCAATAACTTCGTCGGATAAAATAATACTTAATTATTTCACATTTCATACGAAGCTAAAGCTATAATTAAAACAATCTCAAGAATCAACTAAATTAAATGCAACCGTTCACTTATGGCTCTCACCACCGGACATCCAAAAAAAAGAAACTTTCATTTATAGAATACGAATCGGATACACTTCGATAACCCATAACCCACCAGTAGACGAGAAGCTGGAATATCCAACTTTCTATCACACGGACAACTCAAAATGCACGATAACCTATTTAATCTGTATTATTAAGTCTAATTTAATTAACTGATTGTAATTTGTTTACTCAATGTAATTTAAGATAAAATGTAAATGCAAGTTAATTCAATTCAGTCAATTGCAAAATTATATTTTAAAATAATTTTAAAAATATTTTTTTGGAAATATGTTTTGTTTTCAAAATGTTTTTAAATAATCATACTATTTTTTGAAAATATCCTGGAAATATTTTTTGTCGCCTAATTAGCATCATCAAAATATAACTGAGATATTTTGAAGATATTGTATTTATATTTTTAAAATATGTATAAATTTATTTTGAAAATATTTTCATTTAAGTTTTTTAAAAATATAAAATTTTGGTCCTAATTTTTTTTTTATTTTATAATAAATTAAATGTTTCAGTTAGATATAATATATTATATGAACAAGAAAACAAAAATGCATATTTTGTTGTTTTATAACCCACAATACACATGTTACCTGAGGTCATAATATATTATTATGTATTATAATTGTAGCTGGATTGACAGGAACCTATCCAGTTTCAAATTTAAATTAAAAACCAAAAATTTAAAAACATTACAGCCAAATTTATGTAAGTATAAATGATTTATTAAAAATTGTAACATAATTTGTACAAAGTTATTACTTGTAACTTATAACTTACGCTATTATAATTATTAAAAAAAAAAAAAAATACAAATCAATTTGATTATTAAATGTATTAAATATTATTATAGTATTGTTTATTACTGTATGAAGCTAGATTGACAGGAAGATATTTCAGTTACAAATTAAAATCAAAAAAACATAAATTTAAAATATAATAGCCAAACTTATATAAGTATTAATGATTTATTAAAAAAAGTGACATCATTTTTACAAAGTTATTACTTATAACTTATAGGTTAGTTATTACTTATAACTTATGCCATTATATTCATAATTATAACCATTAATTATAAAAAAAAAAAAAAAAATACAAACTTATTTGATTATTAAATATATTAAATATTATTTTGTTAATATTATTTAACTGCTTGAATTAATTTGTTGTTTTTTTTGTTCACGAAATTTAGCATTTGCTAAAAATGTTTTTAAAGGTCCAACAATTTCCATATCTGTACAACTTTTGTGTTTTGGAATGTTCCTTATAGTATCTGAAAATTATTAAATATGTATTTAAAAATATTAAGTATAATATAATATAAGTATTTCGAGGTGATACAAATTTAATTGAGTTAGAAATTAATAATTACCAAATATCAATGAACATGAACGAAGTACGGAAAATATCAGTTTTTTTTTCTGGCCTACGTAAGAATACATTGACAGTAAATTATTATGAAAAAGTTTTGCCATAATGTGTCTCGTCATATCAGATATTTTAGGCTGTTCTAATCTGGATAGATAATTAATCTGAAAAATAAAAAAAAAATAATATGATTTTCTTGAATTAACAACAATATGTTAAAGAATTAATCGAATATTTCTTCAAAAATAAATTATATACTTTATGTTGGTAAAAATAAAAGAATAATAAAGCCAATTATAAATGTATATTTAATAAAATGTATCTACAATTTAAATAAAAGGACAAATACTATAAAGAGTACACAGACTACAGTGTACATATATTATAACCTATACACTGGTTAAAATATTGAATGTCAGTAGATTATATTATATTACTCATTAACATTATGTTTAGTAATAATAATTACCTTATTAAAGTTTAATGTTATAAATTAGTTTAAGGAAGCTACCTATACTTGTCCCTAAGTAAAAGCAGGTCAGGACCAGGATAAATTTTCTTAAATTTTGAATAACTTCTATAGGTGATATTAAATATTGCATTAACGGTTTATTTATTTTTTTTTTTTTACTAGGGGGTTGTTCTCGCTAAATTAAAGATGCCACTATAGTGACGACAACTATTACTTTAATGATATTAGGTAGGAATTATAGGGTTAATTACATATATGATATCAGTTATTATAATTATTTAAGTTACTATTTATCACGGTTTAAGATATACTGGTTATTCAACTCCTATATTAAATTGCTTATAACTAAAGACCGGATTTATGTTTTTCTACGCATTCAGAATTTAACGAATCGTCCACATTTTTCCTCTCATAAGACTACTGCATAGACCCAGTAACAATATGTAAAAACATATAAATCCGGTCTTTACTTATAACACATGGACCGTTCAATATGTTTTGCGATAAGGCACAGAACCCTAGTAGCAAACTGTTGTACAGACTATAGTTTATATGGTTATTGTTTCAAAAATATCACACGAGGAGCACTCATTAGTTCTTCATTCTATGATAATGCAATTATGAGAGTGTCCATTTATTGCATAGACTTGTGCAACCAGTATATCTAAAACCATGCTATTTACTCACCATTTTGAGCCTAAAAGTGTTATCCAATAATTTGTCTTCAAAAATATTCAAATCGTCTATGGTTTTCATTGGAAAGTTGTTTAATTGTTCACTTGTCACAGAATAGTGGTTTTCATCATTAGTTTTATTTATATGATTATTATTCATTATGGCATTTTCAATTCTGTCTATTTTTATCCCGTAGTCCCTTAATTCATACTTTAAATTTGTAACAGCTCGAAGTAGTACAGTTAATTTTTCTAAAATAAAAATGATAATATATAATATAATAATATATAATTATTTACTATTAAGGATTAAAATGATTTACCATCTGTTGATTTTTCTAAACGTCTTTTATTAGAAGCATTAGCAGAACCTATATTAAATAAACATTATACATATTATAATATTTGAAAAGAAATTTTTGTTTACTTCAAATATTATTTACTGAAAATTATTACCTGGTGAACTTCCTAACGAGTTAAAATCTATACGCCTTTTACTGGTATTTGTTGAATATGTGTTATCATCAATAACTTTCCAATTTCCTGCAGATGGGGAATTCATTATTATTGAGTTAGAATCAATGCGTTTAGAAGTACCTATAATTCAAATATAAAAAGTTATATCGAGATATAAAGAATAATCATCATAATTAAATTAATTTTCTAATTTACCAGGTGACCAATTTACTACAGAGTTGAAGTCTAAACGCCTTTCACTAGTATTTGTTGAACATGTATTATCACCAATCATTTTTATATTCCCTGCAGATGGGGAATTCATTATTATTGAGTTAGAATCAATGCGTTTAGAAGTACCTATAATTCAAATATAAAAAGTTATATCGAGATATAAAAAATAGTCATCATAATTAAGTTAATTTTCTAATTTACCAGGTGACCAATTTACTGCAGAGTTGAAGTCTAAACGCCTTTCACTAGTATTTGTTGAACATGTATTATCACCAATCATTTTTATATTCCCTGCAGATGGGGAATCCATTATTATTGAGTTAGAATCAATGCGTTTAGAAGTACCTATAATTCAAATAATATAATAAGTTATATTAAAATATACCTACATAAAATGTATCATTATTTAGTTAATTTTCAAATTTTACCAGGTGATGAATTTATTACAGAGTTGAAGTCTAAACGCCTTTTACAGATATTTGTTGAACATGTATTATCACCAATCATTTTTATATTCCCTGCAGATGGGGAATCCATTATTATTGAGTTAGAATCAATGCGTTTAGAAGTACCTATAATTCAAATAATATAATAAGTTATATTAAAATATACCTACATAAAATGTATCATTATTTAGTTAATTTTCAAATTTTACCAGGTGATGAATTTATTACAGAGTTGAAGTCTAAACGCCTTTTACAGATATTTGTTGAAAATGTGTTTTCACCAATCACTTTTATTTTCCCTGCAGACGGGGAATTCATTATTATTGAGTTAGAATCAATGCGTTTAGAAGTACCTATAATTAAAATAATATAATAAGTTATATTAAAATATACCTACATAATATTTTTCATTATTTTGTAATTATCACTATTACTATCTAAAATTGAAATTTAATTAATTAGATACTATTAAATTGTATTACAAATTGTAAACGAGTTACCTTTTACAGAATTATTTTTAAAAACAGGAGGGCTTGGAAGTTTTGAAGTATGGACCATTTTTTTCTGGCTTAAATACTTGCTTTTATTTTGAAACATTGGTTTTTCAGAACTTGATAACATTTTTCGTTGTCTTAGCTTTCTTGTTTCTAGGTCATCATTGGCGGAAGACAGCTCTGATGTTGCTTCTGCACGTTTAGCTTTAATTCGAGCTTCATGTAAAGTACCTAATTTTTTTTTTATAAATAAATGTTATTTGGTGTAATAATATTTTATTTTAAAATTATTCTGTAAATAGTATAGGTACCGATGTTTGTTGATAATAATCTCGCTTTAAAATAGTCATACTCTAGATTATTTGGGCTGTAACGATGTTCAATGGCTTTTTTATAATTTCTCAAGTTTTTGTTTGGCCAAGCACATGCATTATTTCTGAACCAAAAACTTGGTACACATTCTACTGTATCTTCATCATCAAAGCTCACAACAGACCACATATTATATTATAAAATAATCTGTAAAAAAAATGTTGTTGTTGTTGAAATTATTAATACAATAATATATTCTGATACCAAAAATTAAAAAACACTTATATTTTTATAGTATATTAATATTAAAGTAATATCATTATATATATTTAATTACCTAATACTAATGAATTGCATCTTAAATAAATTTAAAACTAATATTTAAATTTGAAGAGTCTAAGTAATCTTTGCATTTTAAAGCTATTCCATTAAAAAATAGTTGAATTTTTATTTACATTTATATATACATAATATTTTATTTATGAATTACAAATCAACAATTATGTGAATGTATTAAAGGCACAGCTATTTTTGTGCCATCCTTCAATTCTACAAGCATTACTTTTTTTTTAATTTCTTCAAGAAAAATAACTGTAATTTGGCTTGACAAACAATCCACTTTATATATATTAAATATAGATGAATCAATAGGCTGTTCATAATAAGGATTTTTAGATAAAAACTCATGTCCAACTAGGGCTATTTTATTTGTGTTATCAACTTCAACTATATTTTTTACTTGAAAAATTTTATGATTTTTACTTAACAAATAACTGTCAGCATTATTGTTTGTTTTTATAGTAAAATCTTTTAAATATATAGTTTTATATTGAGATCCTGTTAAATGTTCTAAAATCGGTCCTTCTGTATGTTCATTTTTACATAAAGGAAAATTAGTTTCAGTTTTCTTATCTATGTCAGAATTAATCTTTTCATGATAGCGTTTAATAATCTGCTGAAGTGGTAACTCATGTTTTCTTAGCATTTTCTTTAAAGTCTTCATGTAATTTTCGAAAGGAAATGCACTTATATTGTCTAGGGGGCCATAATTCTTATAATCATCAGTTATGTGAATAAGAGCATGGACATTGTGGGACACAAAGTGCTTACCATATATGAGTTCAAAATGTTTTACAAAATATTTTAGTAGTTCCTGTGCATAATCTATGTATATACCCATGTCATTACTTAATAATATAGTCATCGCAATATTTAACACCATGAAATGTTTATAACAATCATCGCTTAAATAATTTTTAAATATTATTTGACCTGTATAAACTAATATCTGTCGAAATTCAGTGGCTTTAAATCCAGTGTTGCGCAAAGATAACTAAAAATTTATCTAGATAAAGATAAAAGATAATTGGATACAATTTATCTAGATAAAGATAGAAGATAGTTAAGATCTAAATTATCTAGATAAAGATAAAAGATAAAACACTATTTATCTGGATAAAAAAAAAGATAAAATTATTTTAATATACCCACCCCCCTCCAAAAAAAAAAATTCCTATATCTGCCATTGACCATTGGGTACATTTATGTATGGAAAATAAGTTATAAATAATAAGTACTTAGTTTTAAAAAAAATACATTCTTTGTACCTAGGTATATTATAATTTTATAAAACAATTCATTAATATATTTTAAAATAATAGTAATTAATTATTAAACACAAAAATGTAATTTGTTATACAAATAATGGTTAACACATAATTATATTCTAAAATATATAAAATAGTAAATATACATCATAATAAAATATTGAAAAAAAAACATTGTACCTTCAGTATAAAATGAAAAAAACACTGGAAAATTATTACCTATTACTTTGTTATTGTTCTGTATTTGTGCAAGGATGATTTATTAATTTAATAGAAATTTAATATTTTAAGACTTTCAAGTTCAATTTTTCGAATTTTTTGAATAAATATATTTATTTATCTAGATGAATTACGTTAGATAACTCAATAGTTCATCTAAGATAATTCATCAGATAACTAATTTTGTTTATTATCTAGATAAGATAAAAGATAATTAATTATTTATCTAGATAAATTATTTAGATAATTTATCTAGATAATGCTCAACACTGTTTAAATCTAGATAGTTCATTTAAACCTCTGGGTTTTCGAGAAAACTCACAAGGTATATATTGCGCTAATGAGGATAGTGATATTGAAAGTGTTTTAGTAACCGAACTTGGTAATCGTACATTTAAAGGTCCTTTATCGATCCACAAATGAATCAATTTTTTCATCACACCTAAGCATGTTAAATGCATATAATCTAATGAAAAATTGGCTACTATATCAATATTTGGTAAAATAGATAAATCTGAAATGGCACTGCCTACATGATGTTCATCATGTTCTCTAGTAATATAATCATTATGAGTACGCTTTAGTAAATTATTTTGTGTAAATGGAAAACATGTTCGATTTTGGAGGTATTCACCTTCTTCTCTACAACGAGTACATGAGTCAAAACCTGTATGACCTTTTATTTTTAAAATAAACGATTTTGCTGGCGCATCTAAGCAAAAACCATCAATTTCAACTTTAATAATAGTCCCATCAACATTAACACCATTTAATAACACATTTTTAGCTTCCAATATAAACTGTTCAAGATAATCGTTCGAATTTTTAGGCTTTTCGTGGCCCCAATATATACCAATAGGAAATACAGCATTATCTAATGGACGAATGTATCCCAGAATAGGCCACAATTGACTTGAACTACTTTTTGAAATAGGTAGACCATCAATGCCTATGACTATTTTAACCACATCTGTGTTATTGATTATGGGATTTAAATTAAAATGTCTCTTAATAGCTGGAATCAACCCAAAATGATAGTAAACACCCGGTTCAATTATGGTAAGGCATGCTGTTTCATTAATATTTCTAGTTTTCAACACACTTCTAGAATCTTTAGGAAGCTCAGTAAATCCTGGAAATTGTCTTAAAATTAGCAATAATGCATTAAGAGCATTGCGTGGAATGTTGAACTCAACAGCCCAACTAGCTAATTTCTTTCTAATTTCATCACATAAATCCGATGGATGATTTGTAACTTTAGAAAAATTACTTGCAAGAAAAGTAGGAATATCTTTTACCATTGTACATTGATCTACATTATCTTCATGATTACTAGAATCATAAGAATTATTAATATCCGGAATACTAGCCAATGATAAATGATTTGGGTGAAATGTTAGTTCTTCATTAACCGCTTTATTAGTGGGTAAGTATTTTAATTGATCATGATTGTCAAAATTATCAAAATTGTAAGAATCAAGTTCTTCCATTATTTTCCTTTGTTTAGTTCTAGTGCTCGTCATTATTGAAAATAAAATAGGTAGTTATAATATTTTGCAATAATAATTGACAATTCTTTTTTTTTTTATTACACCTATAAGCCAAAAAACATACTTTATTATGAATTATATTAGGTATTATTATTAATATTAGGTCTGTAAATCTATAATATGAAAACTAAAGAAAAAGCTAAGAAAACATGAGCAGTAGGACAGATGTTACCCAAAGTGAATGATTTTTACAACAATTTAAATTGCGGTAGTGTGCAACAAATATAATATTGAAAAATAAGAATATTGACAAATACTGGGTGGCCTGAAATACTTATACATAGGTACTAAGAAGGCTAATAAATCATAAAAATAGAGACATAATATATCACGGTTGCGCGTGAAAAGGGGATTAAGTCATTAAAATCAAATTTTTCAGGAGAGCAAAAACAAAGTTAAATTAAATATGCAAGATCAGGTATTCAACAGTCAACGTAGTTCATAACACCATTAAAATCTATAAGTTCTGTACTACAAAATGAATGAGCTTTTCTGCTTTTGAATTGCTTAAGATTTTTTTTCAGTCCTAATATTATACAAATTTAAAAAAAACTGACTTAACTCATTTTGCACTGATTTCACGATGTGATTAAATGTGATGAAAGGGTTATGTTGGTATTATTATTATTTTAAGCAGCTGACTTATCTTTGACAGTGATCAACATTATTCTGTGCATAAAGTTTTAAGTCAAACTTAACTCCTCGTGCACCACAAAGAGTTCGGTGTCAAAAGATATATTATGTACCTCTATTCGTGACATAACTCTTATGTAGCACATAAAAATTGAGTTAACACTAAACGCGCATTGAAATAGTATATTCGATAATACAAATTGACTTATATCTTTTGACTCAATATACCTATGTAGTTTTTTTTCTGCATCTGTTGATGTAAATAACTCATTTTACACAAAATGTTGACTTAACCCCTTTTTCACGCGCAACCGCGATATATTATACAATTACGTCGCGCGAACAAAAGAACAAGAATGAAAACCACGTGGGTATTACGCCTTGTTCAACGTAAATCCAACGAGTAGTGCGGTGAAAAACAAAACAGCTTGTATATTTCACTGCATTGGACGCAGCTATTGGAACAGCATGGTCAGAATAGAATTTACACGCACTCGCCGGATTTACGTTGGAAACGGCGTGAATAAAATATAAAAATAATAGTTATTGAAACAAAACCTGTCGGTACTCACGGTCGGCACGTAGGCACTAGGCGATCACTCCACAATTAGTACCATTAATATTAATATTTAATACCACGGCAATACGTTTATAAACACAGTAGGTAAGCAATAACTATATAGTATCCGCAAGCAACGGCTACAAAATTCTTCAGTCGAACGGCTACAACTATACAGTATACAGAGTACAGACAAATGACAAAATCACTCATAACCAAAGTCCAAAGACAAAGAAAATAACTCAAAGACAAATGCTGAAATGTCAATGGTCAACTGCCAATGGAACACGGATACCGGGATAAGTGACTAAATCGAGAATCGCGGCAGTGGCGCAGTGCAGGCGTGCGGCACAGAGCGGAACTAAGTACGAAACGTTCCGTAACGCTCACAACCAAAACAGAATTACCAACGAATTTTTCATAAATTTCCTAAATTTTATATAAATATCTCCCTGTATTATTTTGCTAGTAGGTACTAGGTACTATAACCACGATTAAAGATATACAGGTTTTTCAACGAAACTTATTTTTTGGTGCGCTTAAAATTTACGATTCTGTCTTAGCAAGAATAATAGTTAGCGCTTTTGCATTATAGTGCGATTTCTCTTAGTACTACAAAATATATCAATTATCAATATAGATATACAATACTATACTCTATTCAGTTTAAGTTGACCCACTCGTCAGACGAAAACTGGTCGCGGCCGCGCAGGCCGGTCCGTCTTTGGAGCGCTAGTAGTGATCGTCGCCAATATAGCAGCTACCTACTACGACGAGCACTGCCGATCGCCGAAAATGTTAAAATTATAGTTATAAGAAAATGTTTAACTTAGTTAAAAATATGTTAATTTATTATTAATGTTAAATTACCACCTATAGGCAGGGCTGAGAGTGGTTAAAGCTATATAAAAATAAGTGACTATAATAGTGACTGAATTTAAACATAAAAGTGACGTATAATTTAATAATAGATTGTAACTTACTTATTTTAGTACATTACCTATATTTTTGTTAATTTTTTTTTCACGCATTAATATTTTGTACTTGTACAAAGTAATTTGAATTTTGGAACTTAATATTTTTAAATGTTCACCTTACACTGCGACCACCCCCAAGTCGAGCAATAATATAGTTATATATTATTATTATATCATATTCGTATAATGCATAATATACGTAAACTACATGGCAGTATACCTATATCATGTCGTAATTATTGGACCCCCTCCCCCAGAAATAATTTAAAATACGCCACGTGCCGCGTATATTATACCTATATAATATATAAGATGAGAACCATTAGAAAATATTTTTAAAATAAATGACAATACATATTTCTGTTGAAACAATGAGAAAATATTTTTAAAATAGATTATTTAAAATATATCCTGTGAAATTATGAGAAAATATTTTAAAAATAAATTAGTTGGAATATTTCCTTGTTTATGACGAGAAAATATTTTCTAAATATAATCATCACCGAAATGCTGTCTGGGTAATGGTCGTATCTATAGTCACCGAGGCTTTATGGTTATATTTTCGGGGTGGCGTAGTGGTCATGCAGTTGACTACGACTCACACAGTCATCCGTTCGAATGCCTCAAATGTCTCCAATATCCTAATATGCTCTAAAAAATAACCTTTAAATTTGAAATTGTCAAAAAATCCAAATAAATGCAAATTAAAACATCTATACATTCATTACTCCGCTCGGAATCTAAAATTGAAAATGTAAACAACTTGACAATTATAAAATAAACATATAGAGTACCTACATATATTTCAAGTATCTGCAAGGTTATTCATTTTGAATTACAAGTAGGTATTACAAAAAAATAAGAAAATCGCTCCATGAGATTTCAAATGAATATCCAATCTTATAAAAATATGAACTTCAAACGCTTTTTTTTTTTTTTTTTTCGTGGTATCGAGAACCAGAGGGGGGACCGCGTTAGCATTACTTCCCCTCTGGCCCCAACTTCAAACGCTTATAAAAATGTATTTGACTTTCCAGTAAATATTTTTTTTTACTCATGACTCATGAGGAATCTTATATTAAATGTTCAAATTTTAGATATATAAAGGAAAATTTGTATGAATTAACAACTCAAAATAATTTGCACATTTTCTTGATTTTTTTAAATTTTGAATTTTGAATTTTTTAAATTTTGTCAAAATTCAAACTTCAGACACTCATAAAAAAATATTGAGGATTTACTATCAACTTTTTAGTTTCCAATAACAACAACTTACGAGGAACCTTGTATTCAATTTTCAAGTTATTTGACATTACCTAAGTAAAAAAAAAAATACCTAATAATAATCGAAAATTGCATATGCCAATAAAAGCCTTAACATGAGTCAAAATACTTTAGTGTACCTATATAAAATGCTATTATAAACATTCAGTAAAAATGTCATGTACCTATCTACGGTAATTGTTTTAAGAGTTACAACGAAAACCAAAATCGATTTGGTCGAAAACCGATTTTGCCACCGGAAAGATACCGAAGTTGAAAATTGAAGTATTATTTAGACTTTAGAGTCTAAATTTTAGACTACTTGTCGTGTAAACAATACAAACATAAAAAAACACATATGTACCTACTAAAAACGCACCTGCTCCGACGAAAGTTCAAACTTCAGTCGTTCAGTCTTCAAACGTCAAAGCAGGGAATAACTCCCATAAGAGTTTAAGACCCAGCCAGGCATGTTAATTCTACAATGATTTATTTCTGTTTATTCTGTCATCACTCATCAGTCTTCTAATTAAAATGTCTTTATGCATAGATTATATTGACATGGTTCTACTTATAAAGAGCATGCATGTATCATGTATGGGTAGACGTAGTTAACATTTATGATAAAAGAGAAAATAGAGCATATGATGCCAAAATACCTTATTCTAAAAAATTTTTCGGACATAAATTTGTTAATTATCTTGGTCCTTCGTATTTCAACTCATTGTCAATTAATATTAAAATAAGCACAATATACGCTAACTCCAGGAATCTTAAAAAGTCGAATCACAAAAAATGCATTGTTCACTGGTTAGACACTCAGACTAGTATTTATGTACCTATATTGATTCATTTTGTTATGTACTGAAACTTTAATCAAAGCACCTACATAATGCAGTGTTTAATAATTTATTTTTAAGTTCTAACGTAAATTCCGGATCCACAGTGGGACACCACCCTACCATACCCTACGGTGGGCCCACCTAAGAAATCTACTATGACATATTATTTCATTGATAAATTAGGTGATCGGCGCCACTACTAGTCAGCAAGAGATCTGATTCTAAGAAATTAAGAAAGTTACACAGTTCAAGTATCTAGGTATGATTACCGAAACAAATTACTTACAAATTGAGAAACTTAATAGAATTCAATATAATATGGTTAATAAGTAATAACTTATAACTAATACCTAACCAATAAGTGATATTTTGCTTTAGGCAACTTATTTAGATATACACTACTCTACAAACACAGAATAGTAGTCATATGAACTCTTAATTATTCGAGATGAATAAATTAATCATACCTTCCGGCTTCCAACTATAGGTACCTCTATAAAAGCATGTTTAAAATTTTAAATAGATAACTTTAACTTGGGTCAATTTTGGCTTGAGACTAGTGAATCGAAATTACTTAAAAAATTCAAATCCAGTGAAAAATTATGGTTGCTATCCAATAAAATACAGATGCAACAAGGGGGGGGGGCTGTTGGACCTGGAGTACAGGGGCCTGTTGAAATGTATTTGTAATTTTTAAAA